TACTTTTCACAAATAAGGTCTCAAACATCAGAAGAAATTTTGGCGGCCATCGACGCCAAAATTATACAGGTTCGTGATGTAGCTGTTCAAAACAAAAAGCAAAAGGAAGAGTATGAGAAAGAGGTAGAACGTCTTCGAAAAGAAGTTAAATCAAGCTCTAAGAACGCCGATCATATGGAAATTATGAGCGGTTCGATCGATCAATATGGCAGCATGGATTATCATGATGAAAATATCAAAGGTGGAGGACGAACTGGAAAAAGGTAAGACACAGCTTCATAACTTTATTTATTATACACGTTAGTACCTTCTCAAGGTATTGAGACTTGGGGAGAGATTTTTTGAATGTCCTTTATTTGATCAAAATTTTTCGTGGCACATGGTTTTATATATACTCGTTCCTCCGTAAATGACGCTGAAATGTGTAAACAGCAGGAAACGTAATCGACGACATTGAAACCAAGAATACGTTTCCATTTGTCCTTTTTTTCTTTAATATCCCTATCTTTCATCTAGGGGCCCAAAAAGATTCTTACCTGGCCGAAGATAAATACAGCCGACTCTCTTTGTACCGAACTCTACCTACAGCGAACTAAGAGATTCAGAACAAATAACTTATATTTATTTACACTGGATATACCGACTTTATATAATAAATTTGCTATACCGCATCCGAATCTAATTGGGTCAGTACATATTATAAATACTGTATATTTTATATAAAAAATTTATATAGTTGGATAAACTATTAGAATCTACTTATACATAGTTTGTGAACTCCCATTCTATGACAAAGAAAAATGGTGCCTGATCGCGTTTCTAGATTAGAAACAGCATAAATTAAATTTGTGGACCTAATAAAAATATGCTGTATTAAGATTTTTAATTTACGTATCCCTTAAACAAATTTGCAGGCAAATTTGCCTGCAAGTTTTTGATCACAATTGTTTTGCAAATATAGCTTACGTAAATCATAATATGGACCCATATGACATTATCACTGGCAAGGTTAATCGCAGAGCTTTTATAGCCGATATCATTTATAACCACTTTTAATGGCATCTTGTCTTTATTTTCCTTGTAAAAGTAATCACTTAATTAAGTCACGAGCTGCTACCGGATGTGTCATATATCTGTTAAATTTTAATGTCTGACAAATTCAAATCAGCACATTCGTGAGATTTAGTGGGGGTTAAAATGTGCAATTGTTTGGTAGGCACTATCAAGAATTTATACGTATTACTTAAATTACTATTTATATAATTGGCAATTGTCACGTGTACTATTGAAGTTGATTTATAATGTAATTTCCAAAACGATAGTGATCTAATCTTTTCGAAATTTTCTCGGATCCCCGTCCACATTTCAAAGATGTCAGAAATGCAAAAATATGTTGATCGTATCCTTTTTATTAATTCCTATAGTCCATACAGTATAACATTGTTAATAATCGTTTCTAAGAATATCTTTTAACTTTTCGGTAAATGCGTTCGTTATACAGTAACAGTTGAAGTCATCACATCTGATGGACGTGTTATAGTGGTATTGTTATAATGCACATTGTTATTCATGTTTAAAAGTCATATAATATTTGTTCATTATTATTTAACAAAACCGAAATAGGGAACCTTCAAAGGATTTGATCAAACAACAAATGTGATTCTTTCCAGTTGTCATGAACGTGTATTTTCTGAAACAGAAGGTGTAGAAACATTACCACTTGGATTATATATAATACGTGGGGATAATATGTGAGTCTTTTTTTTAATAATTTAAGGTTTATTTAGATTTTCACACATCTATTGACTAATTAATTATCGTAAAATTTATCATGGTATATAAATTGGCTAATTAATGCTATCACGCGTCACTATTATAAGAGTTTTAATTGGAGAAATCGATCTAGAACGCGACGCGTCCGTGGATCTCTCTGAAATCAGGGCTGCACCCATCACTGATATCACCAGGCGTTGATTTGATAATACAATAATACTAGGGTTGCGACCAAACCTTCTATTGAATGATGACATTATTACGTAGTTTGGGTTTGAGAATCGGGATTTCCACATCATTTTGGATAATAATCAAAACCCAAATATGTGACCCATTTTCGGCTAATAGTATCAAACTCAAAAACCGGTCGTATTTATTGAATCAATGCTATAAATTATTAAAATTTCGTTTCATTTTCAAATTAATAACCTAAGAATAATTTAGCGACTGAGCAGGATTGTTAAATAAATTGATATATTAGGTCAGTGTTGTTAACTGGAAATTGGAATCTCACTTGATGTCCAAAAATTTCAGGTATTCCAGTAGTTTTAGTGAGTATTCTCACTAGAAAGTTTTTTTTTTTTCACCAGAACAAGTATCGTTTTAGCCAGTAAAGCCCACATATGATCACGTGTATCTGCATCAAAATTGATTAGGATGTCTCATATTTTGGTATATATAAATTACAGGTAACATATTAATAAAGATTTTATAAATATATATTAATATATAAAATTTAAATTAACTATATTTGAACTATACAGTAAATTTACACAAATAAAATTATATTAGATTTTTTTGATATACAGTCTAGCCTTGATATAATTACTGGTATAGAGGTAACAAAAATTCATGTGATAGTGTCTATTTAAAGGTTAATTTTTTTTTTATGATTATTGATAAAACAAAATAGATTTTTTTTATCATTTATGATTATATCAAGAGTGACTATATCAATGTCAGACTGTATTCTTTAACATGATAAAACATTTTAATTTGTAAAAAAATTATTTGATTTTGTGTATTTTAGTATATAGAAAAAGAGTAACAATTTATAAAAATCTTTATAATGCTATCACTACGTCACCTGCCTTATGTTTGTAATCGATGTGATACGCAATAAAATCTTTGCAACTAATCATTTATAACTGATCTATTATAAAAAAAAAACATTCTTCTTCCATATAGGTATGGAAAATTATGTTTGTGAGTATTTTATCATTACATATTGCAAGTTAACATGATTTGACCTAACGTTCAATAGCGCGAGTATTTTATTAATCGATATTTTTACAATTATGCGGGAGGTCTTTGCCTTGAAATGGCCTTATGAAATATAGTAATTACTATGTTTCATAAGGTCATTTTCAAGGCAAAGACCCATGTCATATTAAATATTCAATAACATATATGAAAATGTTTATTGGTGATTCTAAATATACTGTGTATCCTACATCTAACAGCAATCGTTAAAGAAATATGAATTGGTGTTGCACTAGGTTTGATCACTCTTTTAGAATTATTATATCCGCAGGTTGGTAGTCAAGACAAAATACTGTAATGTGCAAATATCAACGTTAGATTTATTGCCGATCAACCAATAGCGTGCTTGGACATTGGACAAACATCTGTCAATTTACATCCCAGTCATTTCCGTCCAATGTAGGTGCAATAGTGGGTAGTGTAATAGGTTTCCTTGTTTTTGTTAGCGTAATAGTAGCAGCTGGCTTCATATTATATCGAAGAAAACGTCTAATCTACTCATAAATACGAATAATCAGACTTGCTCTGATACAAATCCTCAGATTTACTCTGATATAACTTGCCTCCAACTTGTGTTTTGGAATAACCTTGTTGGTATTCTCTTCCTTCCCGTTATTTAACATTTCTTTTGTCCGCTTACCTCTTTTCTCTCTAACATTTCCCTTTCCGTCTGTGCCACGAATAAAAAATATTTCCCTTCTTCGTTCGTAACTTCAGTTTATTCCGTTCACGTTATTTCCTTATCATAATTAACGCGTAATTAATATGGGGAATGGACTAGGAAAACC